GGCCTTTAGCAAGTACCTAGGCTGTTAGTATGGTAAGTTACAACATCAATTTGTAACACAACGACAGTAGAAATGTGCTATTTTACTATATTTGTTTATTGGTAAGTGGGTAAATAATAGTTGCCTGCTGTATGACACCCAGCTATGCCCCTGTTGCGGAGGCGAATCGGTTTTGTGTGCGAGGATGCATGACCCTTTACGAACTCTGAGGAAGTCCGCTGTTAAAGCAGAAATGGAAATCGTTGTTTTCCTTCGGTTCAGTTCGCCCCGCCAACGGGGCCACAAAAGGGAAATTACTTACTGACTTATCGCGGTGAAACGTTTAAGTGAGATGAGGACAGTCAATCACGTTTATGACAATACCATTTTTACAGAAAAAGCCCCTTTACTGAAGACTCACCTGCTGACTGTACTTGGACTAATTGTGAAACACTGAGATGTGAGGTCGTCAGGAAAGGTTGTCTATGGTCGCAACAGCTGTTTTTTTACGGACAAGCTTTTATTGCCTAAAACATTTAAGTAAAAAGTATGTTTTGGTAGTTTTAACTGGTAAAAAACGTGGAATCCACAACCAAAATGTCTCCCTGGGGACGAACACAAAGGTGTTCAGCCTGTAAAACATTGGCCTTTCCGATAGCCCACAGTAGCAAAAATTCCTGTTGCTTGTCCACATTGAAACAATAACGCCATTTAGTTTGGCCGATTCTTTCGTTAGAAAAGTTCATTTTCTGTTCAACATGTTACCAGTTGCGACATTGCCCTTAGGCAGATAATATTGGCGACGAAGACAAGAAAGACTGGAGTAGCAATTTTTGGCTTATTAGGCCTCGTCAGTTAGCCGTACCCAGCCCCAAGCGGTGCACCGCCCGAGGCTCGAACTCGCGACCGTTTGCTCGGAATAATAAAGCTCTAACCATTGAGCCACGAGCTCGTTGGCTCGCCGGCTTAGGTCGGGAGATATTGATTCTCGTGGATGAACGTTCACCAACCGCTAACGGAACAGACCTGTCTTACTCTGCCTTGGGTTTCATTTCTCTGGCCCTGATAGCACCCGTAGTGACGATGACTAATAAGCTAGGAGTGGTCATTCCAGTCTCCCTTGTCTTTGCCGGCAATACTATCTGCCTAAGACTACTAGCCAGGGTGGTTACTGCCAGGGTCCAAGAAATGATACCCAAGGCAGGGCAAGACAGGTGAGTTCCGTAAGCGGTCAGTGAACGTTCATCGACTGGGGTAAAACCAACTTTAGCTAAAGTGAGACACCGTTATACTGAGTTTTTCGGGAACTCCATAAACACAGTAAGCTTAACTAGGTCGAAAGTGCTTTCTAAAGAGAAACGGTGTGGAACTAATATCAGGGAATGGAAACAGCTTACTCCACGCAGGCCCATCCCCTTTTCTCCCACCGA